TAAATTAAATTATAAAATATATATATTAAAAATATATTTATATTAAATTGAATATTTAATATTAGAGTATTATATATTTTAATTAAATTAAAATTAGATTATATTAATAATAAAATTATTATATATATTAAAATAATATTTTAATTAATTTTAACTTGTAATAGTTAATATATAAATAGAAAAGCAAAATAAGATATATTTATATTTTTTTAGTTAATTATAATTCAAAATTTTAATCAATTTTATGAAATTCAAAATTTAATAAAGCATAATATTCAAAATTATAATTATACTAATAAAATATAAAAGATATATTAAAATATTATAAATATATATAAATTTTGTTAATTATTAAAAATTTTTATCAACTCAGCAAAATAATCTGATACAAAATATAAAAAAATGTAAATATTACAAGAAAAATATTAAAAAATAATTTTATATATAATCTTATTCTTTAACTTTGATTTTTACTCTTATTTTTATCTTATAAATTATTAATTAAAAATTTAGAAAGATTGAATTACATATTTATTATGCTTAATATATCTTCATTTAAAGTATTTATTAAAAAAATTAAAAATAACTACAAATAATAATCCAAATTTTTTATTATTCTTAGTAAGTTTGCTAAGTACGTAATATAAAACAACAAAAATTGTATTTATTTATATATATTTTTTATTTTAATATTAACTATCTCTTAAACCTTTTAATGTACAAACTTACATTTTTGCTTGCATTTTATTGTTAGCATAAGTATTTTTTATTACAATAAGACAGTTTAAGAGATAATATTAATCCTTTTATTTATATTAAAAGTAAAATAAAATTAGAATACAAGTTAAATTAGTAAAACATCAGAAAAAAATAATACTATACTTAATTCAGAATGTTGATTTAAAAAAGTGCTAGTAACGATTTGTTGTGAAAAATAAATTATGAGCGATAGATGAGATTATACAATGTCGCACTTGGCCAATGAGGCATAAACAACAGAAAAATATTACAATTATTATTTTAACGAACAATTTGAATTGAGAAGTTTTTTGTATATCAATCTTATTTGTTAACACTACGTAATTACATGATTTAAGCTAATTTTTAGAAATTGAAAAATAATGCTACTATTTCCACTATTTTAATAAAAATCAAATGTCAAATAACATCAAATCACTTAACATCGCCTGCATATGCTTCTGATGCTGTAACAATTCCTCACGAGTAACAACAGTAAATGTATCGGTTTATCATTTTGACAACGCCAACATTCACTACAATGATGAGTATTCAAAATTTAGATGCCATCTTTGAGTTTATTTTGTTGGTGATTATGGCAGTGTTTTATTCAAAACGATGATTTATATGTGTGGAAGAAAGTTATTCATTTCCATTTGTGTTTGTAAATTGACATACGTATTTCGATAAAGCCGCAAGTGAATGTTGTTTGCCTATTTTAAACTTGGTCATTGTTATAAATATGAAATTTTTATCTGGATATTGCGTATAATATACTTCCTTTGTTTTACTCTGAATTTACACATTTCGTAATACATTCAACTCTCATAATAACGACTGACGGTTCTGTTAGTAAAAAAAGTTCGTTATATAAAATCACTGTGTTTTCTATAGAGCCCACTTTAACGAACTAATATAAGATTTAAAAATTCAAGGTTCTTTATATCCAGAGTTCGTTATAAGGAGGTTCGTTATAGAGAGAGTCGACTGTACATGTACTAAACATTAAGGATGCTATATGCTCAAGTGAAAGACTCATGATTTAAGCATGTTCAACCTCAAACCAGTTTTAGAACAACGGGTTTTCTTCTAAGGAACACCTTCAATTATGCATTTAATACGTATTTGAAATTCTCATTCATGCGAACACGAACTAACTTCAAACTGATCTGCTCATTATATGAATAATAAACAACGTATATGGAATAAAAAGTTTCTAACAAAGTTATTAAAGCTTTGTAATCAATTATAAACTTCCTTTGTTATATTTGTAATTAAAAATAGGAAATGCTAATTGTAATATCAAAATCCCACGTTAATTGTGGGACATATTTCCATCTTATAGCCGAAATACGGACCATTATGTCCGGTGACCGTTAGTGGATATTCTTGCAATCCTAAAAATTCTAAAAATGAACAGCTTACTGGATTCTAAAAAAAATTTGCATTGACCAATAAATGTATAACCATTTGGAATTTGGTCATTTTCTTTTGCTCATAACGATAATGGTTTTGCGCACAATCGTCTAATTCATCCGAAATCCAGTATTCACATGCATAGTACCGGTATTCACTGGAATTGTGGTACATAGTTCTCTCAAGTGTGTAACAAAGTGATCGAATATAGTGTCTAGGAGTTATCGCCGAGACAGGTTTGTCCGAATATTGTTATGATTTGATGTTCTTTATTGTTATAGTATGAAACCATAAAAATTTGCCTCCAAAAAATCGTTTTAATGAACAATTAAAGTAGAAAATAATGATTACATACATGTATGTTAATAATTATCATCATCTTCATGTCCAGTAAGAAATAAATGATAACATTCAGCATTTCTTCAACCAATTTCTAAACAATATGTTGCTCATGTAAATTGATAACGATAATAGAACTGATCCCTGGATGATCGTATAGCGATAAACTTTCTGTTGCTCATGTATGAAATAAAGTTACTGAAAATTCTATATTTTCCGTGCATACGCATCCGGAAACGTTGATAATTTTTCCACATTGACTGTCTGCATTTAGTTGATTTTCTTTTTGTGCAGCAAAAATCTCTCACGATCATAGTTTCATTTCATACACTTACGTAATGCCTATATACATGTATTCTTTTTTATTCATCTTATTAGATTAAGCACATGCGTATGTGCTAACCCGGATGGCTAAGCACTATTTTTTATTTTATCAATTCTTGTCTTATGTTAAGTAGTTCATATGAACTGGGTCTGGATATGGACTACCTTTTCTAATGTTTGTACAAACTTGTAATTTCCTTTTCCAAGGGTATTACCATACTGAATTCGTCATATTTACCATACAATTATTTGGATTACCAGTTACGTACTTTAAATACATGTACCGTGGTGCCCAATCAGTGAACGTTCCGTACCGAATCTCTACACCCGTATCAATATTTTCATCCCTGTAAACCTCAGTTCTACTAGACGTGGTTGTGTCTCCTTTATTCTTTCATCTTTTATCAAAGTGCGTTTATGTGCAGGTAGCATTTTGATTTTAGCTTCGTATATGTTTTCAGCAAATTTTCTTATTAAATTCCTTATTCCGTATTATCTGACGCGATGGTCAAAGATCTCAACCTTTGTCTTAAAATATTGTCTTCAAAGAGTTCTGATTTTTTATATCGAGAAATAAATCAATATAAATAACGAAATTTATTGATACATGAAAATTATTGTAATTTGCATTAAATGTAGGATCATAGTTCTGGACTGTGAGTCTTTGGACTGCCGTTTGTAGACTCAAGTTCAGTTAGTTCAGCCCTGAACATTTAAGTTCTAGACTGAGACCTCCTTAAAAATACTTTTGTTGCAGTCGAACGATCACCAGATTTATGTCAATTAGCAAATACAGTATTTGAATTGCGGTTAAATTAAATCCACAGGTTTAAAAATAAAATATAAGATGCGATGAACAAGGTTATAAAAGATTAGATTATTAACCGATAAAAGAATATGTGAACAGAAATAAATATATCATATTAAGAACGAATCCAATATTACTTATTGATCATAGTAAAAAAAAATTAACTTTCCTTCTTCACAAGAAAACACTGCATGCTTTATAATTTGATAAAAATGCTTAACGCAGTCAAATCTTTTAGGACGGCTATAGTTAGTATATTTGTGCTTAATGATGTTTTTGTTATATGCTAAAGCGAGACCACAATCAAAATATGCTAAAAATTACAAAATTTATTTACTTTTGAATTTATTGTATTGGATTTTGTCAATTTCAATTTCAATTTCAATATATTTTATATTATAAGTTTGATGTTTTTCTAAAATTTGCTGTCTTTCTTGAAACATTGAAATTCAGTATTTGATATGTAAAACCAATGATTCCAATTCTTTCTAAGAATTTTATGTCCAAAAATTGATTGGAAGCTTCCATTCCCACGGGTGAGTCAGCTATCCAGGTCGTAGTACCTGATGATCAGTCCCGTCGATTTATCTGTGATTAGTCAGTCTCATTATCAGTTCGCAATAAAAAAATTTAGTGTGCAACGTGTACTAAGGTAAACATTACATCATCTATCTATTCTTTAAAAAACATAAAAGGGAAGTGATGAATGTATTTACCAAGACTCTGAATTCTTAAGTCACTGAATTTCTAAGCAGCGCCGAATATATTGGATATAATTTAGCGTTAGTAATTAATATCAAATACCAAAAAAAGGGGATTTAAATGACTTCTAGAAAATCAAAGACATTTCCTGTATTTTACATACAAAAAATGAATTTCAAATTGTTATTTCAATCGAAAGCTCCATTATGGCGTGCATTATAATTTATTTTGCAGAGCATGATCTCATAGCACAGAAATTTAAAGTTAGACTGTTATCATTATACGTATTTTTTGTATATTAATATCGACATTAAGCATATCGATATGTATTAATCTCACATGTTGCTCTTTAATTTAGTAAACGTAACATTTTAAGTTATTACATGTACATGTATAATTTATCACGGTGCTTAATTAGAAAGTAAATACTACATACATGTCTTGTGCTATATAAACACGTTTTACTGGAATCGATGATTTTGGTAGTTTCTTTGTAATCTAGCCGGAGTTTTTTCGATAAGAACGAATATTCGATGGAAGATTTCCGTTTATGGTAAAATAAAAGAAATACGCCCCAAAAGAAAAAAAAACTGATGGATTTCGAAAATATAAATACAAGTAAGTGATGATATTTTTACAAAAAACATTGTTACAGTCTTTAATCAAAAGAAAAATGAATAATTATGCAATAATTGAAAACGGAGTGGATACTATAAACAACACATCAACAAGTGGTTTAATTCAAATCGAAATTCCCGAAGAAAACAATGAGATCACATTAATCGTAAAAGGTAGATTAGAATTTACAATACATTCTAAAATGTGCACTCTTTTTAATGTTAGTTCCAAAAGTATACATTAAGAGAAGTGTGACGTATATATAATAACTATTGTAAAACAGTCGCACTTCTCTTGATACGTTTAAAAGAGTATGCAGAGGAGTGCGACTGTTTTTTAAGAAGATATATAAAATAATGTGCATGATTGAACAATTTATATCTAGATCAAACTAAAAACTTGGAGTCGCGTAGTGAATCCAAACTGGTAAATATTGATCAAGTTATTGCAGCAAGTCAAGATTATGAGAAAGTCGTTATTCTTACGCGCGGTAATTACTATCGTCACGGTGATTCAACCTTTTTTTATCGGTTATGGAATCAAATTCTAATCTACTCTATCATCCATATTTTAGACGATTCTTACAGAAACGTATCTAAACCTTCTATTCATATTCTCGGAAGATTTGTTCTAAGCATGCACAATGAATATAAATATTCCGTCGTTATCTCAAATAAACATGACACAAATTTGTGCCTCATTGCGATTTCATTTTACAGTTTTTCATATAAAAATACCAACAAAACTAAAAACAAAAAAGACAACAAATTTCAAGTGAACAATTCTGAAATTAGCTTTGAAGAATCGAGCCCCCGTAGAACTAGTTCAACTCGACTTTTCCCTGATGATTTATTAATAATCGATCCCCGAACAATTAGTACAACTCGATTTTTCCCTGATGATTTATTATTAATTGAATATGATACTCAGGCTTGCTATATTGTAAATATTGAAATATTGAAAGGAAAAGGGAATGGTATTCTCCAAATGATTAATGGTAATGAACTCGTCGTTTTAAGGCGCAATGATTATCAGATCATACCTTTTGATAATACGATAATCAACATATGTAAAAGTAACCATCGAATCAATATCAATCATTTCTATCCGCCACCCATGAACAAACTAACCATAAAGGAAAGAATTGACGAAAGATTCGTTGAAGAATACTTGCGTAATTGTGTGAAGAAGAGTTCTTTGTTCCTTCTTAATCGTAACAAGAAGATCGAGCAATATAATTTCAATCATGGTGATCTAGGAAATCTATACAACAATTCCGTCCTGAATCATCATTACAAGGAAATTCACAAACCTTTTTACGACTTCACACCGGTATACGCTTTATCAACGAATGAAGAGTATTTGGCAGTTTCTATTGATCGAACTAGAATTACAATCTATTTGGCAACAAACGCTATCGAATTAGTTACGACTGAATTGCCTGTGAAAAAAGCCAAAGCAGAAAGAATCATCTTTATGGATTTTATTGCAAACAATACAAAACTTTTAATAGTTTTAGAAAGTACTGAAACTGTTAATGAACTGTCGGAGTTGTCAATCAGAGAAGATATGCAAACAAAAATAATTAAAAATGAAATTTGGATTTGGAATATACCCGGTACTTTGGACACTGAATTAATCAAAGGAACACTGGTTTTGAATGAGATTGCACATGATTATTCAATGGAATTATTAGAGACAGAAAATGCTGAATATTTCAAATTGACATTGACACCTACTACTGAGGTTCAGCTCAACAATGGGATTCTTTATTTAATAAGTGAATACGATTATCCCATACCTATGAGTTTTCACAAACACTTATTAGAGTTAGAAGAAAAACCTAACAATAGTAAAGAAATTTATGATAAATTTCAAACAAACTGGCACGATACACAGTGGGAATTCTATAAAATCGAAGATACATGTCTTAAGAGCGGATCAGTAGACGAGATCTTACAAACGTCAATGTCAGAAACAGATAAACAAAAATGGCTAGTGGTTGGAGAAAATTCAGTACAAGTTTGGTCACAACAGGTTTACGATGATAGAATAAACAAGCAAACACGGAAGGCGAATGGCTTTACTGACCTTTCAACGGTTTGGCCAATGTCATATATATTATACTATTCTTCAGATTATACTATATTACAACATGAAGTAATTAGAAATGGTCAAGCAATAGAAACAGTAAGAATTAATATTCAAAGGAAATCAGTTGAAAACGCGAAAAACATAGAACTTGTAATTCCTGTTCAACCTCAAGTGACAATGGCAATCGGATTATTAGATACTTTAGTACAAATTACAGAACAAAAGGTAAACTTAGACCGTGTAACTAGATATCTTATCAAAGCGGAAGACAAATTGAAAGTTAAGAAACATTGGATTGAATGTTTACAGAAATTAACATCATCATACATGAAAAAAGTTAGCGAGAATTCTGATAATTTCCGAATTTTGGCCACCCGTTTCAAAATATTGAAATGTATGATCGATGTTAATTTGACTGAATTCGTAAACGAAATTCTCGAAGAAAAAGCTCATGAGCGCCGATTGCATATTCCAGACAGTTATAATACAAGTTCATTGAAAATTGCAATAGAGAAAAAACTGGATGTTGTTGTCGGACTATTATGCAACTATTATTGTAAATTTGCCAATGAACAACCAAATTGGATGGAAAATTTAGTTCATGCTTTTCCATATTTGAGAAGAACCTATCCAGGTAGTTATGCGTGTTTAATGATTAAATTTGGTTTGATTTCTGAAATACTGTATTAATATTTAATATATATATATATATATCTAGAAATGTATAAAGAATTAATAAAATGCAAGATTTTCAATCAGAAAGAGATCGACCTTGATAAATCCTGGAAATATTATCGGCCAGCAGACGACATCAATGAAATACGATCGTTTTCGGTAAACTTCAATCTTTTTGATAAATTTCGTCAAAAAGCAATAGAAAGAGCAAAAGCTGCAGGCCAAAAGAACTTTCTACCTAGCAACATAAAGTATCGTCAAGTTATTCTTCCAGGAATTTTGATAGAAGAAACATCACAAAAAGAAAGCATAGGTCAAGCATTAGCCAATTATTGTATTAATTTTATTTTGAGTTTCTTTTTATGGGAAAAAGAATCATCCAACGAGAGCCCTTTCTGCAAACTTGTGGTTTTTGATGATACTGGAGAGATGTATGATAATCCGGAAATTGAAGCGATAATCGATTTTCAATGGCGTAGAAATGCGTTTGGCTTTCTACTTGTTGGATTTTTGCTATACACTCTTTTTGCTTCGACCTTTGTTTGGCTATCCTATAAACACTTGAATTTAATTGTGTTTAGCCAAGATGCTGGACCATTTTTCAAACCACTTGCTTGGATATTATTTATCGCCGGGTATAAAGACATTATCGGAAAAATCCGAAATCTTTGTACTTTAAGTCGATCTTTTCGGAGTTTGCTCCCTGTAGTATTTGAACTTTGCAGTTTATTTTATTTAATTTTAATCGCAGTTTCAATGTTAATAATACAGTTAAAAAATCCTGACCTATTACGCACTTCGAGCGAAAAAATTGAATCATTTTATTGCCAGCGTTATGAGGCAGGTTGCAAACAACAGGTGATTTTCATTGGAATGGCCAATTTATTACTTTGGCTTATATTTGTAAGTAACATATTTTATCATTTAACGTTAATGGTTCGTAAGGAATGGAATGCTTATCGTTATCCACCGTATGTATTTTATATTTCTAGTTCTTTCAAATGCGCTTTGTGCCAAGTAAGTATTTTATTTTATACGTATACGCATACGCACACGACATTCATGTACATGTAGTTGTTATTTAACAATAATTATATTATTACTAGTGTTTGGAAAGTATATTCACATTATAGTCAATGTAATTGGAAAAATATCTGGATTCTTGTTCTCACAACTTTTTATCATTATCGGATTTGCAATCACAATGTACGTATATGGGCACGATCAAATTTATCAGTATCTGTATTGGTATACTACCCTGGCATGGTGCGTACAAGGACAGGAAATGTGACAAATTCCGTATACATAACCACGTTTTTGGTACAGTTTTTTTTTTAACACGGAACTACACGTATAAGCACGGACTGTCAAATTCGTGCCATTTCTGTGTTAAAAAAAACCATGCCCGAAACGTGTTATTTATACGGAATTTATCGCGTTTCCCGTGCTTGTACGTATCATGCCGTGCATTTCGTATTATTCCTTGCAATTTTCGTGGATTTACGTGCTTGCCTTTTTCTATAGGGATTCTACATTATTGTTATTGGGGTTAATTCATAATTCGCTCATATAACATTATATTAAATGTTGGTATAGGTTTATGCTTTTACGATTTGCGCCCGGGATCGGTGTTACACCTAATATAATGAAATTCAATGGAACAATAATGACATCAAATGATACTTTTCAAAGCAATGTTACGCTGGCACAAACCCTGGATTGGCATGATTCTAGGGATAATTATTATTTCACTTGGCAACATTCCATTGAAGCTGTATACTTTTGGATATGCGGTCGATGGGATCAGGTTGAAAACTGGGATTTTTGGCCTGTGGATGTGGTTACCGTATTAGCCAGTATTTTCGTGGCAACTCTTATGCAGAATTTATTAATTGGTTTAATGACGTGAATATGTTTTTATATTTTGATTTTTTTTTTTTGATTAAAATGTTCAAATTACTTAATTATTTCTATCACTAGAAATGCTCTGGAGTCGTCAAAACAAGATAAACGTGCTCATTTGCAAGCGCGCTCAGCTTTTGATCGATCATCCGACAATTTTTTCGAAAGCGAAGCACATCTATTACGCCATCCCAGACACACAAGATAAAAAAGGTAAAAAGAAATATTCGAAATATAAAGGCATTGTTGAAAACCAACTTGGTGAGATTGCGATTATGAACATAAAGAAAATTCTGGATGATGTAAAAGCTCAGACGAAGAACGTAGATTTAGTAGAAAGCAGGACTTCAAATTTGGAGCGTGAACTTTCCGAAGTCAAAGATCAAATCGTGGATCTAAATCAAAATCTCAAAGAACTCTTAAAAGCTCTAATGTCGGAAAATGTTGAAACAAAAACTGGGAAAAGTTGAACATTTAATTAAATTATTGTTAGTATTATTCTACATATTGTATATAGTTCCTTCAAATCTTTGTAAATTGTATTTAATAAGTTTAATTTAGACTTTTACTAGTTAATAGCATCTAATATCTTCATTTTTTTACGAACTATGCTTAAATTTTTATTGAAATTTACCATAAAGAAAAATTTACTGCTTTTATTGAAGTTTCGGATTGGCTCAATTTTTCTTTAGCTTATTAAAATAAACAATTGCACTTATATTAAAGTGTTCAAACTAAAATAGTAAAAATAGTAAAGGCAGCAAGAATCTACTGAAAATCTAAACAACTATAAAACTTCCAAGTCTATATGTAATGTACAACGATATTCACAGTGATTGCCATAAATACGTAAAGGGAAATTTTTTGCTTACTGTGTTTTTTAAGAAACATATATAAGTTTTAATTACAAGCAAATAAATTTATTAAAATAAATTTATTAAAATGAATATTTTACTATAATAACACTTTGCTAGTTAGTAACATAATTCATATAAAAGTAATTTTTTGCAAAAATTAGCAAAATACAGTAATAATGCGAATTTAGTTCTTTTCATGAAAATTCATTTAAAACTTATAAAATTTCAGATATAATGTTACAAGTTTGTTCACTAATTGTTAAATTAGCTTACAAACTTGAACCTGAATTGGAAGAGAGTAATAGACTGATAAAAATATTGAAAAGAAAAGAGGGATATCTAAAGCCTATACCAATTTCTACAGAAATTGTGTTTACTTAAAAAGGAATAATAATATGGGAAAGTTATGGGAGAGTAAAAATTAAAGGGAAAAGAGGGTATAAAAGAATAGTAAAAGAGGTTTGAAAGGCTAATTCTCTGTATATATGTAAAGCTTTCCAGAGCTAAGATAATATAATTAATAATAATAATAACAAAGACTCTTTCACTTTGTTCTTTTCACAAGTGAGGAATATTCATTAACAATCAAAAATTAAAATACTTAAAATTCAATTTCAATAATTCTAATATAATGATTTATTTAGCACAATATAATATAAAGTTCAAAATTAATAATAATAATTTGCTTGGTGCAATATAATATAAAGCTATTAGTGATTTATTAGATATAATATAATATAAGATTACTTATATACAAGGTTTGAAGTATATAAAGAAAATATGAGAGATAAGAGATATTTGAAAGAAGATTTTTATTAAAAGAGATTTTTATTTTCAGTTATAATATGTTAAGTTAAGACTCAGATGACACATCTATTTATATATTTTTTAAAAATATAAAAGTGAACTAAATAGATAAAATAAAATAATTAATATTTATAAAAGTGAAATAATATATATAAAAGTAAAAAATTGAAAAAGTGAAAAGTAAAATAATTAAAAAGTAAAATAATATATATATAAAAGTAAAAAATCAAAAAAGTAAAATAATTAAAAAGTGAAATATTATATATAAAAATAAAAATTGAAAAAGTAAAATAATTAAAAAGTAAAATAATAAAAAAATAAAATAATAAAAAAGTAAAATAATGAAAAAATGAAATAATAAAAAAGTAAAATAATAAAAAGTAAAATAATATTAAGTGATTTTACTATTATATAAATATTTTTAGAATTTTTATATTTTTTAATTATTTTTGTAATTTGTGATTTTTATGTTATTACTATAATATATATAAATATAATATAAAATTTAGAAAACAAGTTTATTAATTGCACAAGTATATTAAATTAATAAAATTTTGTATAAATATATATTAAAAATTGTGAATTAGAATTAAGTAAAATAAAAAATTCTAAAAATATTTTTATTAATTAATTTTGCAATATTTTTTAAAAATATATTTTCATACTTTAAAGAATATATATATAAATTTTTTATTAAATTTATTTCATTATAATAAAATAATAATCAATTAAAAAAAGATATAATTTCTTGATAAAACATAGTAAATAAAAAAATCAATTTTTATTATGTTTTATTAAGAAATTTAGCAAAATTATATCTTTTTTATTGGTTATTATTTTATAATAATGAAATAAATTTAATTAAAAATTTATATATATATTCTTTAAGATATAAAAATATGTTTTTTTTAATTAGTAAAAATATTTTGCAAGTTTTTATTAATTTAAGTATATTTGTACTATTAGACAAACTTGTTTTTTAAATTTTATATTTATATATATAAAATTTTAAAGTTTAAATATTTTCCAGAAGAACAATATAATAATATATATATCAAAGCTTAAAACAGCTATTCACAAAGCTTCTAAAATCAAAATATTAATTTAATCTTCACAATGTTTCAATTTGAATTTCATAAAAAATTTATGATATAAAGTAAAAGATATTGTTCATTAATGATCTGCTATATTATATATTTTTACAAAACTTGAAAACTAATATCTAAACTTTATTTTTATTTATCAAATTTAATGATAGCTGAATCTTTATGATAATTCACTATATTTTGCTTTTGGTTTTCATTTTTATGAAATAAGTTCAATTACAATATTGATTTTCAGAATGTTAGTCCTGTAATAAGAAATTTTCTTATTGTGAAAGAGATGTAATGCTGAAAATCCATACTTAATGTTATGTAGTTAATTTAGCATCACACAAAGTTTTATTTGCGTGATGACTATAATACATGTACATGCTTCAGTATACTTTGACAAACCTTCGATAATCTATAGTATGATACTCAAGCTAAATAACAAGCAAATAATCTGAAAATTGTGATTTAGCTCACTAAAAATATAAGAACAAAAGCATTCAAATTTGCATATTCTTTGTACGAACAAGCTTTATAGAAAAATACAGATATACAATTTGAATAATATATTAGTTTAAAGCAACTGATCTATTTTCATTTTTATTGATCACAGACATAACGAAAATAATGGCGTATAAAGGCTGTGACAGATATTATATAATATTCTTAGAGGCGAGGGGACAGTGATAGTGTCTTATGTCTTATATAATATATATAGAGTCACATGCTTAAAATATCTTACCTCTGGGGAAGGGGTGGATCCTATAATAAATTTATACTACGTATATGTCACCCTAACCATAATGCAGGGTTGGCTTTTTTTGGCCATTGATTAGCGGCCAAACTTTCTAAATATAGTAATTAAATTACTATTTTTAGAAAGTTTGGCCGCTAATCAATGGCCAAAAAGAAAATATTAAAAAAAAGAAACTTCATTGAAGAAGAAATCGAGAAGTTAAAAGCTGAACGGATAATAGATTACTGAGAACGTGGAATTTCCAATTTTGCGGAGCGAGATTCTATCTAACCCCTGATTTACAATACTTCTTTGTTGAAACGGCCAAAATGCCAACCCTGGCCATAAATGTATAATTTCACTTGTAAATGGTATGTTATGCTACCAAACAAAATGATCCCAATAAAAAAGTATTTATCCAAACATTTTAAAGTTCTTTTTGGTTAAGTTGGTCATGATGAAGTTGCATGCCAAGTTAGTCACAATCAAAAAAATCCTACTGATAACATAATCAAATAATATGATAAATTTACCAAACCGTTGAAATGAGCTAATCCCACTGAAAAATACTACACCAATCAACAGAAAGCTGACATATTAATTCGAAGTCTTGATCACAAACTACGAAAGTGAGTCTATGATCCAAAGATCAAAACCATCGAATAACGTTCAAGAAAGCACGAGATACAGAAACGGTCCTCGCTTACAGAACTTTTACCACAAGAGTAAAATGTCATCCTAGAAGAAAAAGAAAGAAAGGAAACAAAAGAAGACAAACAATTGGATAAATTGAGAAAGCCATATAAACACTTCTAACGCAAAAGATCAATTCATCCAAAATCCAGACACAATCAATCTGGAAAGCACATATAAAGCTCTGTTCGGGTCGGGTCGGATCGGATTTGAGGTCAACCCGAATCGATAATTTCGGGTCGGGTCGTAAATTAGTTTTTCGTTAATAACTTTTATTTTTACTAAGACACTTGTATTTTGTGTCTAAGTAGAGTTGTTCAGAATGTAATTGTGAATATGCCCACAAATTTTCGTTTAATTCCAATTAGTATTGAACGAAAAATAACAATTTTTAGGCTGACCCGAATTATTTCGGGTCGGGTTTGACCACAATCCGACCCGGTTGGAGCACTAAGTACATACACTACCATCTTTTCTTTGATTTTTGTCTCCTCGATTTAACTAACAGATGCGTACCGGTATGTAGAATTAATCCTTAATACAGAATGATGCAACGTTGTAAATTTACGGTATTACGGGAGTATTGTAATATACGTAACAAATCATTTTTAGTTACGAGTGGCTGGAATTGCAGATTTGATGTGTTGCTTTTACAGTCACACTCCCCTAAATGCATTTTATCGTGCCTGCTCCAGCTCCAAGAGTACATACGTATTAAGCAAAGTGAGCCACAGAAAGTAACGCCCGATTTTTTATAAATGAAACTTTTGATATATATTCGATTTATTTCATTTCTGCTTTATATACATGAAATTTTTTTTCATTAACGAATACATCACCCACCCTTTATATGGCTTCAATATCACCTCGATTCTTTACGGCATCGAGCTCACAACCGCCCCTAAACTAACACATTAAATCTTGACTACACTTCTTTCAGAGCAGTCTTGAGCTTGTTCACAGTATTTGAAAAGCTTTTACACTTTAGAATATTGTTCTATAATGGTTTCTGGATGTTTTTTATGATGCCAGGTCTGGGAAATACGTTAATTGGTTCATAATCATTTATATTCTTCATTGAACCTATTTAGTGATCTTTTTAGAATTATGGTTAGAATTAAGTTGAAACGGCATATTTTTTAATTAATGTATTATAAAAAGGATGAAATTACCTTAAAGAATTTTCGGGTAAATTTTTACAAAGATTTTTTGTTGACAATGTCACAAAATGGCTTATGTTGTCTTTTTTGGCTTCTTGTAAATGTGCATTTTTCTCTTGCTTGTTAAGAGCTTGTGATCTTATAGACCCTGGTAAATTTTCTTTTTCCTATTTCTATTGTATTCGACAAGAGACCATTATCCGGTCATCGGGTCACGGCTCGATTTTTCTTGCAACTTGCACGGCACTCAAAATTACCATTTTACCCTCGTCAAAGTCGGTCAACTGGAGGCGGTATGTTTTATATTTACAGCCAACAAATTTCGCCCAGTGTATGTTTAAAAGTCGAAGAAAGAATAAAAAAATATTTACAATCAATAATAACACGTTTAAATTTAGGTTGATGTTGCGCATCCAAATCGGGCGTTACCGTTACTTTCTGTGGTGACTGAACATAGTTATTATCGTTATATCCTTGGAACTGACATTAAATTAAGAGTTTGACTGTATTAAATTGCTGAATATTGATTCCTTTATTTATTGGCTACTCGTTATTCTTGTCTATCGAAAATAAATTAATCAATAACAATAACGATAGTGACACATCAAGGACATCGCACTACAGGACTATTAGAATTATAAATCCCTTTAAAAACGGCACTATTTCGAAGACAAGTCTGTCCCCTGACTGAAGCAGTAATTTGGAATGCATAGTAGCCAATAACAGGGTTCATACCAAGATTTAGATTGAAGTTTGGTGTGAATGCTTGCCTTGTTGGATCAATCCCACCAACCCATTGAGTTTGAATAATGTTTCCATTGGTATCTATTAAATCAATATTGGTAACCAAGATGGAGCCAGGTGCTGCGCCAGTTGCATCAAAAGAGACTTGATAACATTGACCTACCGAATTATTTCTAACAATTAGAAAATTGGCAAACTAGGAATTCGAAGAAAGAGCTAATGAAATAAATTTCTACCGTTGGTCATTTGAATCCCTGCTGAAACTGGCCAAGTTATACGAATTGCAGCACAAACATCTTGTCGTTTTAGAGGGATTGCGACAATTGTATTAACTGCGATCATAATAACCAATAACGATAATAATAATAAGTATACGTTTTTCATTTTTTTTTTGTTCTGCTTTTTCTTAAAGAAATTAGTTCGTGGATTTTGCTTAGAAAGGTTGTCTAAAACTGATTTCGTGACAATAGATATCTCAATCCGATAGCAATATTTATTTACAAATAAAAAAAACAGGAAAGAAAAACTACTTTTACTTATTTCAATGGCTTAGTTTCATCATAGTTATCGTTATATAGAGGGCATATACATGTGATAGAAATGAAGAAGTTCTACAAAAAGTTAATAGCGATACCGATACAGAAATTCTGTATAGATTCCTATTCTATGCGAAAGAGAACAATTAAATTTATTTTTAGAGTCCATACTTGACAATTCAATATAGAAAAAATACGTACATTTCTAGATCCAATATCGAGTTATCTCTACATACATACGTGTTTATCTTTTTATAGAAATCATTATCGTTATGCTTGTATGTGATCACAAACTTAGCCTGTTACTATCACTATTTCTAAAAAGATTTTGATATACACGTTAACGACGAATCAAAATTTTAATGTTGAGCTCGGTACCTGCTGCGCACACATAGCGTACGCGGAATCTTTCATATAAATATTCAACGTCAATATTTTCGCATTCATAAATGGACAAATTAAACTACTTTTTAAATTATGAGGTAATTAATTATGAAGGGGACGATAACGTCTGACGTCTGTATAATAAATAGTACATGTATATTAGTAGATACCCATTAGTAAGTAACACGAACACTACGAATAAATTCAACGTCGTATGTATCGTCTATACGAAATTTTCAAGCAACTTATTTATATCTCCAGAGGCAGGAGATCTACGGATGAGAGAATCAAAGAAAAACGCAAGGGATAAAAAAGTCGACAACTACTCATCGAAGACCAGTCAAGTCGGACCTATGGCTAGGATAAGCGAATCTACTTGGACTCAATTAACCTGTCATAATGGAAGGACCCCATTACAATATAACATTCCGCTAAAGCAACACCATACCAAATGATACCGAAAGGAATTGAACCTTTCCACCGAAGCGACTGCATAAAAAAATCATGAGCCATTCGACGAGAAACCACTGGTACCAGTTTATTTATTCTAATTACCGCCCAATGAAACGATTGGTTAGAAACGAATC